TACCGGTACCGTAACCTCCTTCTTCAACTGCTGTGTAGCTCTGCTCCAGACCAGATCGGCGTGACGTTTGGCATCTTCACGGATGCGACACTCGTGACTCGTGTCATGCGTCGCGCGAACAACTTCAAGGAAGTTGCGGTGCGGTGCGGTGCGGTGCGGCGACACGCCGAGCATGCAGGCGCCTCTCTTGCAGCAAGGCAGCACCAGTCATGAGGTCAAGAGTGGGTGGGAACTTCGGTGTCATGCGGTTATGCGGTCCTCAAGTCACTTACTTGGTCAGTGACAATCACCAATGATCAAGAATCACAATGTGAACGTGAACGAGTCGTGAGTGGGTGAGTGGGTGAGTGTGATTTTGCGTGTCCATTTACGATTTGACCTCATTCGTGAATCCGACTATCAGCTCTGCACCACGCACCCACTCACCAAGGCCCGTGCCGCCGGTGAATTCATGATTGTGATTATGGGACGAATGGGACGAACAGGCATGCCATGACGGTGCTCGCCTTGCCGTGACCGTGACCGTGACCGTCACTCGCCTTGTCCAAAGATGCACGCAAGCAATGCTGCTGGACACCGGGGGGCGTCGCCCTTTGACCACATCCGTCTCCTTCCCCTTACGCACCTCTCACACTTGACCAATCCCAATCTCTCGACACATTCAGCAAGCAGCATTCTAGACGTGTAAGGTTGGTTACCGCAGCTCACGCAGATCCCCCCCACCATGTCGACGTCGAGCACGAATCAGAATGATGACAAGCACCTCGAGTACCTTCTTGCGGGTGCTCCTACCGAGTCTGAACGGTGAGTTTCGATGATCATCATCATCACTGCCTTTGCAGCTCATCACCGATTCCTCAGCCGAGCTTCGAGCGCATGTATCCTCACTCACCACTGTGCTCCACCCTGACCCCCTTCCCCAACCGCCTCCCCCTCTCCCTTGCGCCTTGACGACCGTCTTGAAAATTACGCACCTCACTCATCCGACTCGACAGGCTGAATCTTCAGCAAAAGATCATAAAGGCTCTATTTCCCGGGCGAGAGTACATCCACACGGCCCCATTCGATCTGAGTCGGGTGCACAGGGTTCTAGATGTGGCGACAGGTACAGGAACCTGGCTGGAAAGGCTATGGCAAGAGGGTCAAGATGGACAGAAGTTGTGGGGGGGGGGGGGGGGGGAAGGGTGGAA